TTTATTATGTTGGCAATTGTATAATACCAAATTTCGGTTTTCTATACCTTTCAAGAATACTATTTATACCAGAAGAAAAAAAACAATATAGTTTAGTCAAAATAACTTATTATAATTGTTAAGTATGATTGATGACAACATAGCGTGCAAGTTGGGTCTCAAATGAGTTAGAATTATTTAAATTCTTTTTATTAATTAAATGTATAAAAATAATTATAAAGTGGTGTTGTTGGTGGTAAAACAGGAATGATGATAATGATGATAATCTTGATGATGATAGATGAACAAGTTTTGGAGTCAGGGCTTGCTGTTTTGACTGAGTTGATTGGTTACTTAAAATTATACCAACACCTGTTGTCAACATTTTACTTTAGTTTACTATTTTAACCAATAAAGTTTGTAAGAAAATTCATTCTAATATACAATGATAATTATAAAGTAGTGTTGATGGTGGAACTAGGATGATGTTGTTGATGATGATGATGATGATGATAAGGATATATAATATATAATAATTGAAATAATATATAATGATATATAATAGAATGAAAATATATACGAAACATGATTGAAAAGAAAAATAAATAATAATAATAATAATAATAATAATAAAAGGGAAGGATTGATATATGATAAAGTAAAATAAGAAGTAAGTCAGCTTATCAAATTGGAGAATGTTGACAGTTAGATAAACATAATTTATTAATATCTCTTGATAAAAGATGATTACTCAAAAGAAAAACGATAGCGTAAAGTAGGAATTATAAATAAAAGGGACGTATATGAAACAAAATTACATACACACACACACATATATATATATATATATATATATATATATATATATAAGTAAAGAGAGGAAGGAACATTGATCTCAAGCTAAAATTGGCTTATCCAGTGTCTGGCAAAAAGACAGTAGTCACACACATCATATTTCATTAATTGAATGTTCAATCTACTATATCACACAATAATTAATATTCTAATTTTATTATCAATAATTTTAACAACAAAACAATATATATATATATGTATGTAAACCATATGTTTTTAATGTTAATGTTTAAAAGACAAGAAAAAAAGAAATGAATAGGAATAATGAAAGATTAGAAATAGAAGTTGTTAGAAATGATTAATGAATATTTATTCATTGGCATATTGTCAAGGATGGGATTCATTGTTCTATAAATAATATCTTGAAGAAAAACGATTACGTGCAAATAAGCTCGAACACCTTGATTATTATATACACGTAACTAACACGCGACCACGTAATATTCTTTCTCTCTTTCTATCTCTTTAAATATATATGTGTGTATGTATGTATGTATATATATATATATATGATAAGTGGTAAAAGGAAAAATAATAATAATAATAATAATAAAAAAATGAAAAATAATAATATACATAATAATAATTTGTATTATTCATAATTTCATAAATAATTTTTTTGTAACTTTACAAATTAATTAATTTAATTAATTAATTAAACAATATTTTATTAATTAACTTTTTTTTGTTTTTGTTTTTATATATATATGAATTATTAATTAAATAATATTTTATTATTTTTCAAATATTAATTATAAATTAATATTATAATTAAAAATAAATAATAATCTACGAAATTGTAGATACATATATATATATTAGGGGGACCGGAAAGTAATGTCGTTTCTGCGCATGCCAATACTTGATTGTCATTTGTCAGCTCATTGTTTGGTTCAGAGGCGTACCAAAGACATTGTGAGGTTATAGTGATTTCTTTACTTATAGAGAATTGAATTACAATTTTTTTTTGTAATTTTGGGTAAAATGGCCAGCCAAATACCAGAAGAGGTACACATCGGGCATTGCATGCTCTTTGAGTTTCGCAAGGGAAATAACGCAACAGTTGCTACCAAAAACATTTGCGATGTTTATCCAAATGCACTGGACATTCGTAAATGCCAAAGGTGGTTTTCCAAGTTCAAATCGGGTAATTTTGATCTTTCCGACTCGTATCGATCAGGAAGACCATCAGCGTTAGACAACGACGTGTTAAGGGCGGAAGTGGAAGCAAATCCGTGTCAGACGATCGAGGAATTGTCAAACAGTCTCAACCAACCTTGGTCGACCATCCAAGAACATTTGAAGCAGATTGGGAAAGTAAGCAGAGCAGGTGTTTGGGTCCCGCATAATCTGTCCGAACAGAATAAGGCTAACCGATCAATCACATGCAACTTATTGCTTCAACGACACAACACAGAAGCGTTTTTTGATCGCTTAATCACAGGAGATGAGAAATGGGTCCTGTATGATAACCCAAAACGCAAAAGGCAGTGGCTCTCTTCAAATGAAATCCCTCGGAGTACTGCTAAGCCAGGTTTACACCCCAAAAAAGCGCTTTTGTGTGTTTGGTGGAGTATTCGCGGCATTGTTCATTTTGAATTACTGAAACCTGGACAAACTGTTACTGCAGACCTCTACAGCGAACAATTGCAGCGAGTCAATCAATCTTTAATTGAAAAGTGGCCAGCGATTGTCAACCGAAAAGGCGTCATTCTCCAACATGACAATGCAAGACCGCACTGCGCAAGGCGAACTCTAGAAAAAATTAATGAATTGGGGTGGGAGGTGCTGCCTCATCCGCCATATTCGCCCGATGTTGCTCCATCGGATTTCCACTTATTCCGAGCGCTGCAACACTTTTTAAGTGGCAAAACATTTGCAAATTTGGATGATATCCAAAATGCCATCTCTAGATATTTTGCCGAAAAACCAATTAATTTTTATCGATCAGGGATTGAAAATTTACTCACTAGATGGCAAAAGGTTATTGACAATGATGGGGAATACATCATTGATTAAAAATAAAGACTCGTTAAAAATGTATGTGTTTGTATTTAGCGTAAGAAAACGACATTACTTTCCGGTCCCCCTAATATATATATATACATATAATGGTAGTTGTTATAATAATTTATCTTATTTTTTTAAATATGTAATAATTAATAATTAATTAATGTTTTTATATAAGTATTAATTAAATAATATCATAATTATATTTGTTATTACAAAATAATAATTAAATAATTATTTACGAAATCGTAGATATATATATATATAATATGTGTTTGTGAGTTCTTTCTTTGTGATATTAATGATCATTTAAAACATTTATTTCTATCCTTCGTATATATAATCATATATATATATCTTATATATCGTATCGTAGATAACGATTCATTCGTTTTCTCTCATTCCAGCAACATTTTTTTACTTCAATCCAACTGTTTAGAGATTTGAAGAAGAAGAAGAAAAAAAAAAGAAAGAAAAAGGTTGTTGCGTGTGTGTAGCTTCTTTTAAAATTATTGATTGCTTCTTTATCTAATCGTTAAGTAGCAAATAAAAAAAAAAAAATAAAAAATAAGAGAAACATAAATAGAGAAATAGAAAAAGAAGAAAAAAAAAAAAGAACATAAATTGTTAATGTTAATGTTCACATTAACAAAAACATTCATAAAACTTGGTTTCATTTGAAACGTGTTTTATTTTGTATTAAAAATAGGACAACATTTGTATACATATATATATATATATATATATATATATATATAAAATAATGAGAAGAAAGGGAGGAGGAGGGGGGAAAGAGGTGAAGGGGGAGGGGAATAACCATTAGGATATTTTCTGGGTGATGCGATTATATGTATTTGATAAAAACGTCTTATCGGATAAAAAAAGTAATAACGCGTCATACGTATCACGAGTTAAGCAATAATTCTATCAATAAGTACTTGCTAAAAAATTCGATATAAATTCTATTAATAATAATAATAATTATTATTATTATTATTATTAGTAATAATTAATAAATAATATAATCATTGATTCTTGAAACTTTGTTTGTGTTGTGTCACAAGTTAAGCAATAATTATCTGAACAAACACTTGTTAGAAATTTGATTAAATTTCATTAATAATAATACGTATTAATAATTAATAATTAATAATATAATTATTGATTTTTAAAAGTAATTATAAA